CTAACCCCTCTCCCACTCCTCCCTGCCATGCAGGAGGGTTTCCTGCCTTTAGCTGACAAAGCCCCTGCTCCATTTCCAAAAACTCCTTCAGCTGCAGGGTAGTTCTCCCTACTCCTCCATTAGACCCTGAACTCCAATAGGGCTGGGGCCAAGGCTGGTTTTTACCAATGGGACAGCCCCAAAGCCAGATGGTTGTTGGGATACATGAACAAACGAATGAGCAAGTATGCCTTTAGCTTGGGCCAGACACCTGTCAAGGAGCGGATTCCATGGCAGTGTGGCCTCTGTGTGCCATGGGACAGGTGGCCTCAGAGTAAGTGGGAAGGACTAGCAGTTCTTGCCTCAGACAAAGGGACACGCTGGCTGGACCTGCACTGCTCAGGCAGCCAGAGAAACAGTGCCACTGCTGAACCTGTGGTTTGTCTGTTTTTGGAAAGTCTTGCCGGCCGGCCTAAAGAACACTTGACCAGCTCTCATTTATCTTAACATGTGTGTGCTATATTTATTCTGCCTCCACTGATGGGGAAATGCAGCTTGCCCAAGGGCCATATTTAGCGAAGTCTTGGGCCTCTGCCTCATGGGGTCGGCTTAGAGACAACAGAAGCCCAGAACTTGAGTCTCAGCCAGGAGGCTGAGCTTCCTCCCACGTGGAATCTGTTTCTGGGGCTGCTCCCAGGGTGAAGTGTGGGAGCACAGGCACTGTTCCCGCAGTGTGGCAGTCAGGCAGCAGAGAGGGCCAGTCCTGTCGCGGGGTGCCTTCCTGTTATGACAGACGTAAATTTTCTCCTCTTTTTCTGCTGCCAATCTAAACAGGAGCTGTTACCCAAAGGAAAGGAGTGATGGAAAAGAAACCCAGGATTAGAGCAGCCAGCTCCTCTATAGTTGCTAAATTAATTGGAAAACTGATTAAAACAGAGCAGAATGACAGTTGCTGAGATCTCCAATTTCAAGAGTTCTCCCAATGCACCTGTTCTTGGGTCCCTGCTAGCCACATGGGAGCCAGGATGCTGCTCATGGCTTTGACCTGGCCTGACCCGACCCTGGCCAATGAGCCCATGAAAGGAATGAACCAGCATATGGATGATCTTTGTCTCTGTCTCTCCCTCTATCTGTTATCTGCTTTTCAAATACATAAAAATACAATTTATTTAGGGCTAGCATTGTGGCATGTGGGTAAAGCCACTGCCCACAATATCTGCAGGTACTTTTTCATGTCCTGGCTGTTCCACTTCGAGTCCAGCTCCCTGCTAATGCACCTTGAGAGAACAGTGGAGGATGATTCAAGTTCTTGGGCCCCTGCACCTATGTGGAAGACTCAGAAGAAGCTCCCAACTACTGGCTTCAGCCTGGCCCTGCCTTCATTGTGGCCATCTGGGGAGTGACACAGCAGATCAGATGGAAGATATTCTCTCTCGTGCTCTCTCCATCCTCTTTCTCCCCTCTTCTAGCTCTCTTTCCTCCCTTTCCCAATCTCCTTTCTGTTTCTCCTCTCTCAACCTCTCTCTCAACCTCTCTCTCTCACCCTTTTTGCCTCTTTATAACTCTTTCAAATAAATAAATCCTTTAAAAGATTTTTTTTAATTTACTGAGATCTAATCAGGCCGGTGACATACACATAAATATTATTTCCCAGCCAAACTGAAGATGGAAAAGAAGACAGCAGAAATTAGAAAACCAACAACCTCTCGGGAATTCACAGCTCTTTAAAAAATTTTTATTTTCACCAAATTTTCTTCATCCACAGAGGGACAGTGGCAGAGATGGTTGGCAAATTCACTAAACCCGTGGAAGATTTTGTAGCAAACTTATCACAGTGTCTCCACTTGGGATGCAACTCAGTTGCCTTGAAAAATCAGTTCTTTTTTAAGGTGATGAGATGTAGTGTTTCCATTTCACATACTGAAATATGAGATGGACCCAGATGTGGCAAGTAAGCAACAAAAAGGACAAGAGGTTTGGTCAGCCACTCTGGTCAAGCTTGCCACCTGCTGAAGCCAGTGTCCAGCCATGGATGCTGGTGCTGTGGGGGTGGGGATGGGGTTGCTTCCAGGGATATGCTGGTGTCAGTTTGGGGCTTCTCCCTCAAGACAGGTTTCTAAGGGAGATGACCACCATGTGGGGAGGTGACAGGCACCGCAACCTACACCACGAAGCTGCCAGTTGTTAGCACCAGCTCTGTTGTCACTGGTTTCATGTTATCTCAAAGTGGTCGGGAGCTGTTCCAGGCTTGGGAAGGCTGAGGCACTCACCTTTGGAAGAATTCTCTGTGGCCCCACTTTTCCTCATGCTCAGTTGTTAGGGAGAAAAGCACTCGTAGATTTTGGGAAGCAACTAATCCAGGGTCAAGTCCAGACCCTTGAGAGTGGTAGATGGTCTTCAAAGCTTTTGGCAGTGACCTCCGATTTGGCAGACAGAGAAGCTGAGGGTCCAGGGCACATGGCTTTGCCCAGGGTCACAGTGATGACCAGTGTTCAAGTTCTCTGTTTTCTGAGGCTCAATTCAAATGTCTCATTTGATAGGCTTTCCTTTCGCGTCCCCTAATCATCACTGTGGGTATTTCCCAACCTCTTCACTAACAGTGATAGTCACACGCACCTTGACTGTCTTCCTATGCGCTTGCTGTGCACAGAGACCTAACACCTGTCTGCGCTTCCCACCTCACCCCCAGGCCTCAGCAGGTGCAATGAGAGATCTTCCCTTACAGGTGCCTGTGCACCCCCATGGCACTCTTCATGGAGCCCTGCTGCTGCTCCCAGGTGGCCCTTCCCCGTGTCCCTTGTTTCCTGTAAAATCCAGGTTTGGGGTATTTTAAGAGTCTCGTGCTCTACCAACTGAGCTATCTGGGCAGATTGGAATCTGTAAGAAGTAACACAGAGATCACCGAGGTGGCAGGTCCACACAAGGAGGGTGAGAGCCGAAGCACAGAGGCTCCTGGACACTGCTGTCCCAGTAGGACATGCTCAGGGGGCTCAGCTGGTGGGCATCTGCAGTGAGACACAGGCGGCTCTGACAGGTAGATGTCCATGGCAGGACATATACAAGGGGCTCAGCTGGTGGGCATCTGCCGTGGGACATGCTCAGGTGGCTCTGGCTGGTGGGCGTCCATTGGCAGGACACACACTGGGAGCTTGGGATGGCAGGCATCTGCCAAGATTGTGTGTTGTAGTTCAGTCTTGGGTCTGCTTGAATGCACCTCTCTGTTCTCCTCTCACCTATGGATTCTTGTCAAGTGACAAGAGTGATGTGTTCCAAGGGCTGAGGCAGTCATCTTCCTCGACCAAGCACATTATCAATGATGTGGACAGAGCCACCAGAACAGCTGTTTAGAAACCCACACCTGTGGTCCTTAACCAGATGGTAAGAAGCTGACGTGTTTGCCAGGCAGCCTAGCAAGCCAGCCTGTTGCCTAAGGGTTTGCCATCTGATCCTTGCCTTCTATGCTCTTCAGCAAGTTCCAGTGATGCGGAAGATAAGTTTCAACGTTTCCTTTTCCATTAGAGTGCAGATAGAACTGGCTTATTGATTAGGAGGTCTCTGGAGAATTGGCTGGGCATGTGGTCACCTCAAAGCTGGAGCAGGTCCCCGTTACACAGCTCAAGGCAAGAGCAAGTTCTTGCTCCCACTTGCTTGTTCTCAAATTCCAACTTCTCACCCTGCGTTCATCCAGGATACAAAGTCTTATGCAGTGCTGGGCACAGTGTTTACAGGGAATAATTCATTTTGTAAATTTTTTGTGTACTTTTAAATTTCAATAACTCAGCCTACATGCAAGCAGAAAGGTCTTCTGTATGAAGTAACTGCCAGTTGCTAGAAGGAGTTTGATTTGGAAATCTTTTCCCAAGGAGTATACACCTTGTTAGCAAATTACTTTCTTTCTCAGGAGTTATAACGGAACAGGGGTTGGTACGTCGTGGGTCAGATTGGCTGCCTTTGTGGCCACTAGCCTGTCGCAGAGCAAAGCTGGGCTGGTTGTGCAGGGGTTCTGCGTAGCAGGTATGCATTCTGAATATTTGGATGTAGATGGTTAAGTGATCCTAGAGAACCTTAGATTCAGTTTCTTTCTTGTCATGTCCCCTTAGAGAAGGCATGCAGTTTCTTTCCCTAATGAGGGAAAGGCCTAATGCAGGGCCTCAGTTGCATTTCTGTGGTTTGATGCCATTCAAAACCTCATTTCTTCATCCCACGTGTTTCTCCTCTGTGGTTGGAGGGAGGCACAAAGCCAGGAAAGTGTGGCAGTCCTGAGACCCTACCTGGATTTGCAGAGAAATGAATGGGGCACAGCAAGGGTAGAGCAGAGCAGGCCTCCTAGGGTTCAGACGTGTGTGTGTGTGTGTGTACGGTGTAGATACACAGGTCCCTGGAGAACAGCTATGAGGAAAACATTGGCCAAGGCGAGGACTTCAGAAGGGAACGCAGGGATGGGCATGCCCTTAATGTTTCTATCTTTAAACTCCCACCGGCACATTCTCAAGAAAAGTAATAAATGAGGAGTATGAGATGCAAAGCTGTAGGGTCAAGAGTTTGGATCCCAGCTCCTTCCCTGGAGAGCTGTGCCTCTTTCCACGTGTGGTATAACTTTTTGTGCCTCAGTTTACTGAAATGAAGGCAGGAGTAAAGGATGTGTACGTTACACAGCTGTTACAGGGATAAAGTAAGAGCCCTGTGAAAGAGTATGCCAGTACCGGCCGCAGGGAAAGCAGTGACTATCTGTTTTTTGTTGTAATACACAGCTTCTGGCAGCAGTGTGAAGAACCACAAGGTGCTGTCTCTGAGTTCCCATTGCTATTGTTAACCATACCGACCTATTTTTACCCTGCTGCTGACCGGACCCTCAAGAGTGACAGACACGTGCAGTCACCACGATTGTACGTGAGGTGCTGTGGGTTACGATGGCGGAACAAGTGCTGCAGTGGAACGCTGAACCTGATGTACAGCTGACTGGTAAGTTACAGACACCGACAGGGAAACCACGAGCTTTGAGCTTTGTTTCTCTTCCTTAGGAAGACTATGACCGTCTGAGGCCTTTATCATATCCAATGACTGATGTCTTCCTCATATGCTTCTCCGTGGTAAATCCAGCCTCGTTTCAAAATGTCAAAGAAGAGTGGGTGCCGGAGCTTAAGGAATATGCACCAAATGTACCCTTTTTACTAATAGGAACTCAGGTATGTCTGGGTTTTATCCAAGTATTATGGCCTGTTCTTGTTCGGGGCAGGGGTGGTTGCTATCAGACAAACTCTCCCAAGGCTATCAGATGGTCTAAGCATTTGATCTCACAAGTGACTGAGTTTTATCCTATTTCTGGAAAGCATAGTGCTCAAAGAATTCAATTAACGTAGTAGCTCTAAAATTTAAGTGTTTTGTTGATTTTTTGGGAGGATAATATTATGGAATATGATTGATCTTTTGTAGATTGATCTCCGAGATGATCCCAAAACTTTAGCAAGACTGAATGATATGAAAGAAAAACCCATTTGTGTGGAGCAAGGACAGAAGCTAGCGAAAGAGGTATGGATGTTTACAGGGTTTAAAAATAAGCATAAAAGAAGTCTTTCACAAAAGTGTATCAAAATAAGCATAAAGCAACAGAAATTACTGTTGCTCGTGTATGCCACGCAGGCCCTCTACTGAATGCTTGATGAGCTGGCCTCACTGAGTCCTTGCACTGACTCAGAAGGAAAGCCCAACTGTGTGCCCCTCTGTCCAGAGATAAATAAACCTGGAGGTGACCAGTGATGTGCCCCAGGCCCGACAGCTCATGGAGTTCAGTCCAGAACCCCCCACACAGGGCACACCAGGACCGAGGCTGTTACATCTTACAGCGCCTACAGTATTTCCTTCAAAAATTACACACGAAGATCTTTTCACAATTCTGTGGAAAAATGGAATAAAAGTATAAGATTATTTTGTTTGTTTCTTAATCTATGCAGCTTTTTCATAAAATGTATTTTCATGAACTTTCTGACCATCTCATATGCATGGATTTCAGAATATTTTTTAACTTATTCATTTATTATTTGAGAGGCAGAATTGAGAGTACAGAGAGGTCTTCCACCTGCTGGTTCACACCCCCAAATTGCCACATCAACTGGAACAGGCCCTGTCCAAAGCTAGGAGCTTCTTCCGGGTCTCCTACGTGGGTGCAGGGGCTCAAGCACTTGGGTCATCTGCTGCTGCTTCCCCAGTTGCACTGGTAGGAAAGTGGAGCAGCCAGAACTCAAACTGGCACCCAAATGGGATGCTGCTGTCACAGGTGGCAGCTTTATGCACTGCGCCACAGCACCAGTCCTTCAAATGCTTTTTGCACCAAAGTAAACTCAGCTTTTAATTCTGTCTTCCATCTGTTTCTGAAATGCTTTTGCATAGAACGACACGACAGAAACAGGTGCTGATGTGGTACTCATGTTACGTACATATTTGTACCGTGCCAAATCAGCTTCTTTAGTTGACTCACTGTGCTAGGCAGAAGCATGCCAGAGGACGACATTTAATTTGCGGTTAAAGACAGAAAATTACGGCTGTGTTTGGAAAGAAATGTGTTGAAATTTCCTCCAATCACTTTATGAATGGAAGATTGGAAACATAAGGATTCTCAACAAGTACATATGGTGATCTGTGCGGTATCTTCATTCACAACCTTCCTCACCCCTGAGCTAGCTTCACTGTTTTCTCCATTGGCCCTAACATCATTGAATTCTACTTTTTCCAAGTGTTGTGACGTCAATAGGGGGCTTTTGTGGAAACAATCTAAAAAAGGCTTTTAAAACAGACTTATAGGAGGCTGAAGACAGGAAGAAAGCTTTTTGGAGGACAGTTTTTCCTAAAGCAGGTGTCAATGGTTCCACTGTTGCTTTAGGAATTCCACATACTCAGTTTTGTAACTGTAAGGAGAGAATTTCTAATGTCTTAAAGGTGAAAGTCATAAATGAAGATAGTGAAGGTTTACCTTCATAAAAATTTTCTATCACATCAAATCCCAATCCCAGGAGTAAAACTAGAAGGCACATAAACCAAGTTCATGTGCATAGTGAAAAAAAACCTAAGCATCCTTAGTATACAGGAATCCCTTAAATAGGAATTAATCAGAAAAAAAAGCTGTAACCTCAATAGAACGAACAATGAAAACTATAGTTTGCCCTAGGTAGGGCATATGCTCTAACTTATTTAAGTCCGAATTTCCATCTATCAAATTGAAAGCAGATGAGAAATGAATTATCACCACTGTGTTTGTTGAATAAAAGCAATCTGGACAACATACAAAATCCTTCCACCTCAGGCTCCCATTCGACCCAACAGTCCTGTCAATGTAACCATGTTTCTAGCTCAAGACATAGGGAGCCTCCAGTGGTTGTGTGGCTTAGACAGTGTTGAGGCTGAAGTTCCCAAGGTTTTGTCCAGCCTGTACCTCTTGCCCACACTCTGGACCAGGTTATCAAGCAGTTCGCTTACAGATCCACCTGCGTGGCTGAGAAGCTCATGAACATATTTAAGACAGAATTCTTAGTCCTTTCTCCCATCCTAAGCCCATCCTCCCAGCTGCTCAGGTCCAACTTTCCAAAATCACCCAGGGTCTTGTACTTGGGCAAAACTTGCTGCTCTACCTTCAGACCACACTCAGAATCCAGTTGATTCCTCCTTGCCATATTCCCCTGTTCTTTCCCAAGTTTGGCTTGGGTCACTCCGTCACCTGACTGTGCACTCGCAAGGAGCCATGGGAACAGTAGCTGGAGTGGGCCCTAGGAAGCAGGCTAGATCAGGGTGTTGCTGTGCTTTGGCCTCAGAGCACTGACTCCTGTACTCCGACCTCCTTCCCGTGTGCTCCTGCCCATCTGCCCTCAGCCAGACTCCCTAACCAGGGCTTAACTCTCTGCAGTGCAGCAAGCTGCAGGAGGCGAGGGGCATGATGATTGCCCAGTGTGTTCACACACTGAGCCAGGTGGTGTCCCCTCAATAGAGGTGAGGGTCCAGGCCCTCCCTGAAGCCAACTGCCAGATTTCCATTCCATTCCTCACTCACCCCTCTCCCAATACCTCTGCCCCCATCATCCCCTCTTGACTTCTCTTCCCTCATAGGTCCCTCCAGCTGCTCAATAGCTTCCTCCTGGGAGAACCCTAACAGTTAACTGTGCCCTTTTGTTTGGTTCACTGACAGGCCCCCAGCACCTAAAGAGTGCTCGATGTGTAGCAAGGACCCTGTGATGAATGAATCAGCCTGTCATTGGGAAGTAGGCAGGGCTACACAGTCAGCTAGCCCTTATTCACTCGTTCTGTGTAGATGTATTTCATAATTTTGCTTATGATGTGTTTGTATCCTATACCAACTATATAGTAGAGATTTTAAATATCTGTTCCTTCTATCTCCTTCGCAGATAGGAGCATGCTGCTATGTGGAATGTTCCGCTTTAACCCAGAAGGGATTGAAGACTGTTTTCGATGAGGCTATCATAGCCATTTTAACTCCAAAGAAACACACAGTAAAAAAAAGAATAGGCTCACGATGTATAAACTGTTGCTTGATCACGTGAGATTTGCCTGCCATGACAAAGGAGACTGTCCACTTTGGAGAATATGTGTGCAATGCCGCAGCTGTACCCAGACCTCTCACAGATAAGGAAGCAGCTTCAAACTTGAAAGGGGGAAAAAAAGAGAGAAAGCCTGTACTCAGAATTCTACAAAGTTTATGAAAAATTTTCCTCAAAGGTCCAAGAAGCAGCAGCAAACAGCATCTGAAGCCACAATCTATTATAAATACTTTATTTCAACTAGAAGATACAATCTCTCAGGGGTTTCATAGTTTAAAAAGCTACAATCACAATCATGTTGTGAACTACATTAAAAAAAAAACAGTGCTGTAAATGAACTGCTTGGCTCTGACCATGGACATTTCTGCACAGCCCTTATGGAATCTGCACAAAGGAATTATCTTTCCCCCTTGGCTCCTATTAATTGTTCTTGTATGTAAGTCGCTTTCTATTCCAGTATATCCAGAGTGGTGAAATGATGAGGCCAGCCATGTAGCCAAAGGTTGCTCCAAGCGTACAGGAGATGGGCCATACCTGCAGAAAGAATGTGAGACTCAGAAAGAACAAATGTCTTTATTATTCCTTGAGCACAAGTTACAAGTGTAATCTAAATATTTCTATATTAAGGCTTACTGTGCTTTCTTAATGCCAAAAGTGTAACAAGGTCATACCTGCATTTATTATGAACACTAAAACACTGTATGCATTTTAGTTAGTGCGCATTCAATTGTATCAAGGCTTCCAGGAATTGTAGGTTTAGTTTGCTCCCCAAATTGCATGAGACACAGGCTAAAATTACAAATTAAAATTTTGGGTCAGACTTTGCCATAATGCTGGACTCAATTTAGCTTTCTGAGTTAGTTGGTGATTTAAAAAAAGAAAAAAAGGAATTTCATATCAGCTGTGTACATGAAATGAAATGAGAAATGTGTATGCTGACCAGACCAAGACATATGTGAATGTTGCTAAAGAGGAAGGATGTAGAATTCAAGCATGCTGTGGGATTTCCAGCAGAGCAGCTGCTTCTGTGAAACTGATGCTACCTTTCAGATGCAGTACTGGAATTAGTGGCTATAACCTATAGATCATTATCACAGTGCCCAGACTGTACGCAGTACTAGCTTCCAAACACCCAGTTTCCTCCAGCCACATCACATTTCACAATGTGACATCAAGCTAGAAGTAAATAGTGTTCATTCATTTCATCCACAACAGTGCGTGTTAATCACTTGGTAAAAAGGCTCTGCTTAGAAGCACAGTTGGAGATGAGTATGGCAGACTGGAGCCTTCTCTGCTCTATGGGGGAACAGGCCACGGAACTGTGTAGGAGTGAACCATCTTAATCACCAGTCCTTTCACCTGATCAGCTGCGCGTTTGTTCTGCTGTAAAGCTCTGCCTTACTCCAAATGCTGTGTAAAAGACGACAGTGTCAGCCACACTTTGTCTGAACTGCATAGTGCAGCACAGAAAAGCATCCTCTAATCCATAAGTTTTCTTTTCCAGCCTTTCCTACATTTCAACCTGCTGTTGCCTAAATCACCATTTATTTTGTATGTCTTTGGTGGGCTTCTGATAATTCTTCTGACTTGAGCTTAGAGCTATGTCTCTTGCACAGATTGGGTAATGGAACACTAAACTTTTATACTTGAAAATGACAGCCTTAAGTGCTCCTATCAGTCACAAACCTAGGATGTACTGTCTTGTCATGTGTGAGCTTTGTAGAGATTTTTAAAAACAAGCGTCATCTTCCCCAGTGAAGAGTGGACAGAGTCTGCAGGATAACTTGTTGGGAACTTTCTCTTCAAACTGAACTTTTGATGTCTTCTTTCTCCCCAAATGTGGTGGTTCACATTCAGAATCATGGCCTTATATGTGCTCAAATGGAATCTTATATGTAACTTTCTCATTTACTTTTGGTCTAATATTTTTAGATAGAATTGAAAAAAACTATATAAATCAATTGACGTATTAGCTAAGTTGTACAACACATGCTATAAAGGAATTAAGACAGTAAAGTATTATACATTTCCAACTTGTCTTTGGGAATTTGATGGAATTTTTTTTCTTCTTCCAAATTCACATCTCTGAAACCCTCTACACTTGGTTGACTAGCTAATGAAAGTTAAAATCTATCTGTCCTACTCTAAAAGAAATTGATTAGGAAGCTGAAAGTTCAAACTGGTGTCACCTCTGTTTCTTGGCTGGGCCTGTTTCCTCAACTTTTACAAGTGGGAGGCAGAACTCGGCCTTAGGATTTTCTGCTTTCTTATTCACAGTAATCACTGTTGGACGTTGACCTTTTGGTCTCACGTTCTCAGGGTGGTAAAAATCATCCGTTGAGATGATCGGGACTCTCTGCAAGGTGACTGTATCATCCGAACCTGCGGTGCCTTAGGTACTCTACCGACCTGGATGGGGTTTGGAGTTTCCCATTGCTTATTAAGAATGTTTTGATTGCTTTGGCTCCTTGCTATTTCAGCTTTGCAAAAATCCTTCTGGCCACTTTACCTAAAAAACCAAAGATTTTTTTTCTTCATAAGCAGATTGTAGAAAAATTGCCTTATTTTTAGAAGCATGTCTTCACTGAAGGCTTATGCTTTAAGAGAAATTCAAGCTAACCACTAGAATGGCTATTTTAAATTAGTGAACTGTGGGAAATAAAATATTTCTAAAATCCCTTATTGACATGAACTTTGCTAGTGAATGCAAATGCATTGCTTCAAATAAGGTCATGTATGCAAATTGGCAGTTAATCAGTTTTGCACTTGAGATGTACAGCTCTTAAACAATTTTCAGGACTCCCTGAAATCTTAATACTTTGCTAAGCTCTACACTTATTCTATCTCTACAGCTACATTTTAGGTTAGTTTGTGTTGGATTACCATGTTTCCAATAAGCAGAGCTTGAACTGATGGTTTTTGTTATGAATTACCTTAATTAATTTACCATATACTGCTTCCAATTGACTTTTAGGTATTAGTTTTCAATAACAAATTAAGTACTGGTTTATTGGTTGTTGCTTTTTTTAAGTGACTGATACTTTAACAGTGTCCCTCCTTAACCCAGGGGGTTACAAATAAAATAATATGTGTAGTTTACTTCCTATGTATACCATTGAATTTCTTAGTTTGTATTTAGCACCTTATTGAAACATTTGAAAGAATATTCTTTCCTCCTTTCTCCTCTGTGTCTCTGCTTGTCATTGGCCTAGAATGACTATCTGCCCTCCCTTGGCAAGCTCACTGCCCAAGTGCCGGGGGAATTCAGCTAGATTCCAGTGTGGGCTATTGGATGCTGTTTACATCACTGTCATTTCAGCATGGCTCTTTGTTCTCACACATACTTTCATACTTAAATCGCCCTATTTTACCTCCAACCGGCTGCCAGAACTGAAAGCAATGTATTAAAACATTTTTGTCTAATGAGTGGTAAATGTTTGACATCCTTTATATTCTATATTATATAAATCCCAAAGGTCCATGCCTTTGGATTAGAACTGACTTTTAAGATTGTTTGCTAATGATGGATAAATCTTTGTACTTGATAGAATATTCTCTTGACTTTCCTGATATAGGCAATCCTTGATTGTAACAGAGATATTTTAAAAGAGATTTTTTTAGAAAGAGGCATCTTTAATCTACTGGTTCACTACCCAAATGCTAGAATCAGGACTAGGCCAGGCCAAAGCCAGGAGCTCAGCATTCAATCCTTGCCTCCCGTGTGCGTGGCAGGAACCCAGGTACTTGAGCCTTCACCTGCTGCCTCCAAGGGTGCTCATTAGCAGGAAGGATCGGAAATGGCAAAACCAGGCACTCTGAAATGAGACGCAAGCATGCCATGTGGCAGCTTAACCACTGTCCCCTGTGAACAGTCCTGCTTTTTGTAGAGCAAAGTTAAAAAAATAGCAAAAGTAGCAGCTCAATGAACAGCACTAGGGAGACTGCCTAATAATAACCACTGGTTGAGCAATTTTCAACTTTCTTATTGCTTCAAAGATTTAAAAACTGCACTATGGCAATAAAACTCCTATGAACTTGTGCCTGGGTTCTGTCCCAGCTCCATTCTCCTTTATAGCTTCCTGCTAATTCACACCCCTGGGAGGCAGCAGGTGGTGGCTCAAATACTTGGATTTCTGCTACCCATTGAGAGACATACATTGGGTGCCTGGTTCACAGCTTCAGTCTGACCCAATCTGTGCAGCAAATGGACAGTTGAAGAGTGAATTAGTGGCTAGGAGATCTGCCTTTTAAATGAATTAACCAGAGTACAATAAAATTTGATCTTAAAATTTTTCATGTCTAACATATGGAAATTTTTTCTATTCAGTATTCTTCATGCCACAAATGGTATTTAAAAATATATGTGGCTTCAAACACACCACTCAGCTGCATTGTCATAAATATTTCTCCAAATTCTGTTTAGTAAGGACAAAGTTTGAACAGACATTCAGGGAAAGGAAGTCATTCACAAATGTTTGCCACCAAAATGAGAACCTTTTCATTCAGTTTTTTAAAAAGCATAATGGTTTAAAAAAATTATTCAATAAAAAGAATAACCTATGTTTCATAAAAATATAACACAACACAAATGGGTACAAATGAGAAAAATATTATGAAAAAGAAACTTCTAAAACCAGAGAGGACGGCATCCTGTTGGGAGAGAATTATCACTGTCTTCCCTCTTGACTCTGTGATATATTTTCTATCCCTGAAGCCAAAAAAGGCCACTATTCTCTTAAAATAATGGTGTTGGGAAACAGGGGGTCTTGAAAAAGTTCATGAAAAATGTGGACTGTGAAAAATCTGCATGGATTTCAAAGAATTTTGTGCCAAAATAAACATCTTTGAATTCCATTTGTGCATGAACTTCCTGCAGTCCCCTTGCATATGTGCAGATGAAATCTATCAGTTTTCTGGCTGTGAACTGCATGGTTTACTCCTCGTCTCAAAGGCCAGAACACAGAGCTCAGCAGTGTTACGCACGGGTCTCCCAGGCAGAATGCTTCTCCGGGTCTCACTAGCTGGTGCTGGGCCCAGTGCATGTAGTCGGGTTCACGTGGCTGGCATTATCCCTTCACATGTCAGTCCCACTGGCACAGCATCAGCAACGTGCTTACTATCATGAGCAGCTTTGAAATCTACAACCCTCAGGCCAGGCCTGTCACTTAAGGATTATGCGCACCCCGCTTCCTGGAAACATAAATCATATGAATATAAATTAATATTTTATTTGAGTATAAAACAGTAATAACCCTTTGGGAAGCAGAAATACTAATTAACCTAAAAACACACAACTTCTCAATCAACCAATTCTATAACCTTTTATCCCTCCTTTCTGCACTGGCAAGGATTCATTTAGTTATAATCCTATGATGTCAAATTCAATACAAACTCATTATCTGCCATCCATGATTTAAGGAATTAATATGTATGTTTGGCAAATATTACATTTTTATTCTGGTAAAATTGGAGGGAAAAATCTAAATGTGACAATGCCTCATTTATCTGATATATGGGAATACAAATAAATATTTAACAAAATTTTTTTCAAAAATAATATCAAACGATTATAATCAAAAGTTTCAAATGGACTTGTAACAAATTATTATTATTAAATCTATTCTGATTTTAACTGTAAGAAATAAGTATCTTGAGACCTAATTAGCTGGTCCAAATCATTTTAGAGGTAGTGACATTGAAATCCAAACACATTTGTGGGTTTTTTGGGCGCAAAATACACTGACCACAGATATATTAAACTGTGGCCTGAAATACAGGCACAATGATGGTGGTGATGGCATTTAAAGGACAAAATAAGGCAAAGAAAAGCTGTATAATAACTACCTTGAAAAACCAAAAGCTATTTTCAGTCTCTGGCAATGAGGACCATGTTGCAGCAGGGCTGTGGTTGGAGTCCTAAATCTCACCAGCCAAGTAGTTTTGAGCAAGACGTGTACTCCTCCCCTCCCACACTTTGACTTTCTAGGATGTAAGAGTGGGAACGAAACCCTGCACCACAGTGGTCAGCATTTAGCAGCTGCCCATGGGACAGTGCCAAACCCCACGTGTGACACATCGATCTACAAATGCTACGCTTTGTATTGTCATCTCAGATGTCAGACAGGATTGTACATTATGTGGAATTCAAATACCCTGAATTGGTAAAACAATTCACAAGAAATCAACAAAGGAACCGTCAACGTTGCTCACTGAAGCTCTGGTGGGCACAAAAAATAAAACATGTAGAGACAACACACAGGAGAACCCAACTGAGGTAAGCCGCGTGTGGGGAAGGGGTGCTGGAACGCAGTTACTTAATGAGCTCTGCAGAGCACACGCGCCCACAGAAGCCAAGCGGCAGGTTCTGAGCTCAGAATTTTACACGGATCTTGTTACTGACTCCTCCAGGAGCACTGGGCAGAGCCAGAATGGGCACCCTGCCATCTTCTGCCAGAGCTCTACATCATCATGTTATCTGAGTACCTATTAATAAAACATGTGAGTTTAAAACCTCATGGTCAATTTCCTTTGCACAGAATAATCAACATTTCTTAACTGCTCACCTCACTTTTTTTTCCTTTTATAACATGAAATACTAGCTTGTGTTTTGATAAAGGAAAGAATACTTTCCAGGTGAAAAGCTCATAGCTAACTTTTTCTACAAAATATTTAAAGCATATTAGATCTTATTATAAAATACATAACAATCTGAATCTAAATTACTGCTATCAGAATTCAACTCCTGTTATGCTTATGTATACTATATGCTTTGTACATGACTTGTATATGTTGGTCAGCTACTGAGAGCAGATAAAGATTCATGTTTTAATGTACAAAGGTTTTCTGTGGTCCCAGTGTTTATTTTACCAATAACTTTAAGGACTCTGTAGAAGTAAAAATGGCTACCTGGATTATGAGAAATCCTAAAGTTTATTATCTTACTGAAATTTTTAATGCAGAGAAACCAAAAGATTTTAAAATATTTTAAGTCATCCACAGAGATATCTAACAATAGACAGGTAGCACCAAATGCTACAGAGAAAGGCTTTCCCCAACCACACAGACACCTAGTGTCTTTCAGCACTGGTCATTACTTAGAATAATCTAAAAATCATACTAAAGAGAAACTTTTCCACTGAGAAAATATATTTCAATGGGTCTTCTCCATCATTCAATGAAAAAGCATCTTTTAAAATACAAAAATGTTCAATTGTGTTCTCATTATTGAATTTCTCATTTCTCATCCATAACAATCTTTTGCTTGGCCTTTGGAACACTATATAGTCAGATCTTACTTTAAGGTAGAAAAAATGAAATAAAAGCATGTAACAGTTGTTGGGGCTACTGTATATCCTTAAAGAAAGTGTAACTACTAACCACACACTCTAGTTTCTTTGACTAGACTATAAATAAAACCAGGCCACAATCCAGAAATGCTTGCCTTACCAAAAACCAGTATGTATTAGCTCAAGAAGCACGGAGAACTAAAAGCCTTTTAAAATACATGTTATATTTTAGATAAAAAGGTTTATAAAGTAATATTTTCTCATGAAATTTGGCTCTGGCATTATCTTCACTTCTCAGAAACACCAGATTCTCTCATCTTGCTTCTTCTCTAGTTGAGTTTGTCACCATCAGGACCACACTGAGCACTGGTTCTGTGCAGAGAGGGTTACTAATATAAAAAACAGCAACCTAGTTTACTAAAAACAAAAGCTGAAGGAAAAGAATGAAGCCTCCTCATTTCTCTAGTTGATTAGTATGTATCTGCTAAAAGACTGACAGATGAGCACAAGATGAATAAAAGATGTTTAATTGTACACCAATTCCATCATTCCCCCAACAGTGTGTATCGTAATTAAAACAGATTATAGTGAACAAGTGGGTCATTAACTTGGAATACTCTTAAAAACAACCCAACAGTTAAGATGATTACACAGCCAGTATTCTTCCAATAGAATGAAACATTCTTGATGAGACCAACATTTGTTACATATTTACATCAGCTAGCTGAAGAAAATAATTCAAGTGGAACTTCATATTAATTTTAAAAGCTAATATTGATTTGGTTACAGCTCATCTTCACTGTAAATAAACATTGGGTAGAAAAATGAATCGATAGCTAACGGTCTGAACAAAAGTGGACAATTGATTTGTAAGTCATTAACATCTATTTTCTAAGCAAGCCTACACCCACATTTTTCATGGCACATTTATTCCCATGATTCAGTTTCTGCTCCTGTATATACTTGGAAACACAAGATTGAGATACATCTAAGATACCAAACTTCTACAATGTGAAATGTACCATCTGTATACACACAGATATACTAATTATACATGAGCTCACCAAATCCATCAGGCTTATGTCCTTTATTTGTCAATAACCTGTCTTGAGATTTAATTGCACAATTGGAAAGTAGTGATCCCTAACCATGTAAAACAAATGTCCAGGTATGCTCTTCAGGCCTTGAGTGCCCTCTTGACTACACATCACTGGCACTCTGATGAAGAGACTCAGCGCAGGTGCTGTCCCCCATTATGTCCACTGGACTAGAGATGAACCCCAGTCTCCCAGTGACCACGGGGGAAATAAAATGGAAACCTTCTGACAGCACTCAACTTTGAGAAGGGTACCAGTGACATCGCACATCCCAGACCTCTATGGGTCTCTCTAACATAGTGAAGGAAGGGCAAACCCACCAGACTTGCTGAACAGCAAGGGATAATTTGGCTGCCCTAGATCCCAAGATCCAAGTGCCCAAGATCCAAGTGCAAGCAAAGAAAGGCACACAACCCAGATCCCAAAGTTGGCAAGCGAGGTGTGTGTTAAAGATTTAATCCTACCACTCTTCACCCTAAGGAGAAAACTGGACAGGTGTGCCAAAATGTAGATTTAAGGACGGCAGTAAGCATAATTACCAAAATAAAATTGGAACTAATCTAAATATCCATTTATAAAATTGGGATAGCAATTTATCCAATAATGAAATATTACATATATGTTTTCACTGTCATCAAAGGAGAAAAAAAGTAATTATAAACAACATTGATTAGTTATACACACAGAGGGAGAGATGGAGCTGCAAAAACTATCAAAACACAAATAAGGGTTTCCTAAAAAAGTAGTTCTTATTTTCTTCTTTATAACTATTGATAGTCCTTAAAATTTTAAAAACACAAACCTACCAAGGGTCTTTAAAAAGTTCATGGAAAATACACAAGTTAATGCATAGATTTCAAAATCTTTTGCACCAAAATAAACTTACCTTCTGATTCAATTTTCTATAAAATTGAATCACCCTTAGAAAACAATTAGAAAGCTATAGGTTCAAAGATGCTAAGTACAGTGGTTTTTATCACAGTAACATTTCAAGATTAACATTCAATTTGATCATCAATCAAGAAAATATAAACCTAAGACAAAATGGCAGTGGACATAAAAGTTGGGGAATTTCTGCAAATTATACCCTAATAACCTCTACTGGGTATTCACAAAATAAGCTTGTTTATTCCTGTATACAGGTAGGAAAAATAATGCAAGTAGTAGAAACAAGGCCACCTAGATGTTGTGGCAGTGGGACAAGTCCCAAGGAAGAGGCCTCAAATACGACAGAGCAAGTCAGAGAGAACAATCAAACACAGAAAGCTTTACTATCACTGTGCAAACAGGTACATTGTCACTTTAAGTAACTGAGACCAACCTGCCATGGTCTTTCCCAGTCCAGGGGAATAGGAAATGCTCCAAGCCACGCCCCCATACAACTAGAAATTGTAGTGATCTGCAGACTATTCTCCCAAATGGATGAAACTCTGTAAAACACAAATATGCAAATCATCAGTGGTGTGCTTGGGTAATTTAACTGCTGTAGACTAAACAAGTAATAACACAAGTGAACATACGTTTTCTGTTCAGTTACAATGACCACTCCAACTCACAGACAGCAATTTACCAAGAACTATTAACAATTAATTCCTCTTGAGAAAATATAAATTTACCTCCATGATACACATGTTCTATACAAGTCAAACAGGCAAAAGTACTTGCAGTGACAACTGAGTCTTCCGCACACTGCTATCATCAACTCCTGGTTTCCTTCCTCAGAGGCAGCTGCTGTTACCAAACTGTTACATGTGCTTACAACAATATTTGATGCATGTACAAATAAACAGGCTCATTTTTGAAGGATACATTCCTATTTGCAGAAGTGCAATGTGCGTACGTACATATCCTTCCAAACAAACTCCAGGGCATCACATTATAAACACAACTTTGATTTTCTTTTTCTTTGTTAACAGCTACAACAATATTTCACTCAATTATTCAATAGTACTCACTTATTCAACTATTCCTTCTTATGATACATTTCACTTAGAACAACCAACTGGATGAGGCCAGGAAGGGGTGGAGAACAACAAAAGATTTCAAAAGACTCAGTGATTTTACATTCCACATCCATGTACTAAAAGTACCAATCCAGGGCTGGTGTTGTGCATTAGTGGTTAAGCCTCTGCCTCAAACACTGGCATCCCATTTGAGTGCTGGTTTTGAGTCTCACCTGCCTCATTTCTAATACATTTCCTTGCTAGATAATGAGCTTGGGAAAGCAGCAGAAAATGGTCCAAGCACTTGAGTCCCTGTCACCCACTCACAAGGGAGACTCAGATAAAGTTTCCTGTTGCTGGCTCTAGCCACTTAGGAAGTGAACCAGTGGAAGCAAGATCTAATTCTGTCTTTCAAATAAACAAATCTTTAAAGCAATAAATGAATCTAAGAGTGCAAAGGTGAAAAGACCTAAGTCTGTCATTCTTTCAGCAGATTTTGGCTGTGGCCTGTCCCTTGCATGCAGTCATATGTAAGAAGAGGCTGGGTGCAGTACAGTAAACTCCCCACCCTCCACCCCCAACACAGTGAGTGGGATCCTAGCATTTGACTGCTTGAAGATGCAAAGTGGAATTATTGTGAAGTTAATGAAAAGCAGGATGTTCTAGCCAGAAAACATTTGTCTGCTTTGTTGGATGCTTCCTTTCATTAGAAATAGGCCAACTATTGCACACAAAATGTACACTGAATTAAAATAAGTTCCCAATGATACTGTAGTTGATAAACCAATCCTGCTATCAGCTGCCCATCTTATGCCCTCCCCTGTACAAACGTCAGAGCCCTCATTTGTTTCTATGGTAAACAGAGGAGACAGGAGGTTTGAGCCAATCACTAAATAGGTAGTGTCTGCTGTATTTTCTTATTCTTTTTAAATTTATAAACTATCTATGCAAGTCAGTTTCTTCAAGTAGGATTCAACAAAAGAGACCTGCTCTCATCTTGGAGGGAGAAAACTGGCTAAGTTGAACATACAAAGAGAACTGCTCTGCTCAGGTAATTCTGAGGATTTTGCAGGGTGACTGACTATTCACGGCTGCGAACGCTCACCAGGCACCACTTAATACAGAGTTCCTCTGTGTTGTAGTACAGAGTGTTGTCCCTGGAGAGACCGTGTGGGTGGGGGAAGAGCAGAGTTTACGCTCTCTGTTCAAGTTCACCTTTCTGCTTTGTGGCAGAGCGGGGCATTCAGCAGGCTTTGAAAGAAACAGGTAGTACCAGGTGTGGGGATGGAGAGCTGCATTAAAGGTGACATGGCAGCTAAGAGAACTTGGGTAAAACTGAGCTCATAAGGCTGGAAAAGGAGGTTAGAGATAGGAGGTCTAAAACATCAGCTTTACTGTGTTAAAACTTATCTCAGGAATTTTTTTTTCCAACTATCCAATTCACTCAAAGTATACAACTCAAAGTTACATAGTATATTTAGAGTTGTGCAACCCTCACAACACTCCAAAGGAAACTTCCAACCATTAGCAGTGACTTCCTCACCCTATCCCCAACTACTTCCCTAGGTCCAGAAAACCATACTTTCTCTGTCTCTGTGGATTTGTCTGTTATGGAAATTTCATACCAATAGACTCATCCAGCAGGCAGTAACTGGGAACTGCCTTTGTTTCTCACTCAACATAGCAAGCCCAAGTTCCATCAAGTTATTGCCCCCATCAATGCCTCATTCCTCTTCTGGCTCACTCATGTTCCTGTGGACGGACATTGCACATTTTAGTTATCTGGCAGCAAAAGGCCATTTGGCTTGTTTCAGCTTTCTGGCTGCTATGAATAAAGATGGCATGGACATTCATGTACACGTTGCTATGTGGACGTGCAGTTTCATTCCTCTTGGAATTACAGCCAAGGAGTGGAACCACTTGGTCACATGGTTAACTTGATGCTTAACGACTCAAGGACCCGCCAGACTGTTCTCCAAGGTGACTGGACCATTTTACATTCTCACTAGCAATGTATGAGGGCTCCAACTTTTCTACATCCTCCTAACACTTGCCAATATTTTTTAGATTACAGTCATTCCTTTTTCATCATAGTATCTCACTGTGGCTGATTAGCATTAGGATTTTATAAAAGTCTTGAGCGCCAAATTAAAGGAGCCATAAAAGGTTTTTTTTTTTTAAATCAAGGGCAGTAAAATGATTAGAGTTGTCTCAAAAGGATTAATATGCATTATCTAACTTTAGAAATTATCTAGCTTCTGGGGGTTGGCACCGCAGGTAGCAGTAGCTAAGCCTCTGCTTGTACAGCCAACAGCCCAAATGGGTGCCAGTCAGTGTCCCAGTTGCTCCACCTCTGATCCAGCTCCTCACTTATGGTCTGGGAAAGTAGTGGAGGATGGCTTAAGTCCCTGGGCCTGTGCACCCGTGTGGTTTGGACTGGCTGAGCTCCAATCACTGTGGCAAATTGGAGAGTGAACCAGAGAATAAAAGATCCATCTGTCTGTCTCTCATTGTAAAATGTGACTTTCCAAGAAAAAAAAAAGGAAAAGAAACAAAGACAAAACAAAACTATATATATATATGTATATTATGTATATGTGTGTGTATAATTTCTAAACTCCATGTTCCTTGGGATAAGCAGCGAGATCTAGGTTATATTTCCTGTTCCTGCACATTTGTGGCTATCTTATGCTATTCCAAGAAGTCGTCTCTATTTTGTTTAGTGTATCCAAGGGTGGACACATTATGATCCTCCATATAATAAATGTGAAAAAAAGAAAGACCTAGTTAAAACAGAAACTCTGCAGACTGTCTTTTTAAAAGTACAAAACAATGTTTCAAAATAAGATATGCTATCTTTAAAATCAAGAACCACAATTTGACCAAGAGCACAAATAATGAAACCAGTAGTTGTCTTCTGTGTCCTTCTCCGCTCCTGAGACATCTCCAACCTCTTTTTCTCATGTTTTTATTGCCTTCAAATTTAAGCAGAGTTTTTTCAAGGCTTAGTTACCTTATGTGCTCTACTGTCGGAGAAGGCCCAGCACCCACAAGCCTCCACCTTTCTTCCAACTCACAACCCCCTTTTCACCAGTACTGCCTTTCCCACTGGCCACATAAACAGCAGGTCTACTTTATCATGACCATGAAACTATTCATCACAGTGAGCCCTGCAGTTCACAATTATTCTCACAGTTAACATAATTTTCAATTTTCCTTGGATGTTAAGAACTGCCCTGAAGGCAGTATCGTGGTGCAGAAAGTTAAGCCACTTGCATACCTGTTTCTCACACCACAGCCCCAGTTCAAGTCCCAACTGCTCCACCTTCAGTTCTGCTCCATTAACGAAACCTAAGAAAGTAGTGGAAGACAGGCTCAAGTGTTTGGGCCCCTGCACCCATTTGGGAGACCTAGGAGTTCCTGGCTCCTGGCTTCAGCCTAGTCCAGTCTCAGTCACTGTGACGTTTTGGGGAGTGAACCAGCAAACGTAAATTTCTGTCTCTATCTCTGCCTTTCATATGCATTAAAAACAAAGAACCCTTGCTTCCTATCCCTTCATACATACCCTCTGCTAATGTTACTGCCACTAAACCATTTTTAATGAACCTTCCCAGTAGGTTTAAATGCTTTCTGCAGGCTCCTCACCGGGCCCCAGCCACCCTGGGCTGGCTGCTCTCTGGGCCTGATTCACTGCTGTAGTCTTGGCAGGGCCCTACACTACCATCCTGTAAATTCCTTTTGCTTCTCAGTTCTATTTCCTGGATTCCAACATGCCTTCCTTCTGGTTTTCTTCCTTTTTCTTTTTTCTCACTGCCCCCTTTACTTAATTATTTAAAATGAATTTATCTGAGAGGCAAAGAGAGACCCACAACAGACTGTGGACTGTGACAGAGTCCGCCCCCCACCCTCAACCCCTGCAATGGAGCAAGGAGACAGGACAGGAATCCAACACTTGGAATATCATCTGCAGGATCCATTAGCAGCAAGTTGGTTCAGAAGCAGAGCAGCCCCAAACTCAAACCAGACACTGGGCTAAGCGAGGAGGGGGTCCCGAGTGGTGACCTCACCTGCTATACCACAACGCCCGTCCTGTCCCCGAGCTCCGCGAACACTCACGACACAGGTACATGGAAACCAGCTTTACTGGGCTCATGGTGATAATTACCTTACTGAGGTTCATGTCTGCCTAAAATCTTCTAAGAATCTTTTTCCTCACTCTTTTGCTGGACTACTGTTTTGAATTACTCTCTGCAGTAGCTTAGTTTTTAATTCACTTTCCCTATCTGCCTATTTGTTGACCTATAGCATCTTTTCGAACTCTCTACTTCTGTTCAATTTTTATAGTACTTTAATTTCCCAAGAGCTTTCTTGTTCTCTGAATATTTCTTTTGATTGCCTCCTCTTCACATTTTATAGATATAAAAAATATGATTTATTTAAAGTTCTGTTTTAATCTGTGTTGCCTTTATTTCTACAGTCTCCTTTCT